GTCAAGGAAAGAGAGTTGGAGGTCCAGAAGAAAAGACTGGACAAGCTAAAACAACAGCACCAAGGTATTTAGATATTGATAATCTGACTTAAACAATGGAATAGTAGTTGTAACAAGGACATCATCTTATATTATCAACTTTGTGTCACCTACCAATTTCTCTCATCTCAAGCAAAATCATATTCAACAACTAAAACCAATTAAGCATTTTATGGATTTCAGCTCATATAATTTCATAAATGATGACAATGTTGATTCAGTGATCATTATGACTCTTTTGTTTATATCATTTCAGCTCAGGCAGAGGAACTAATCAGTGTTAAAGTCAAGGCAAACAACACAGGAAACGAAGTGGAGATTCTGAGGAAAGAAGGAGAAGGTTTGTGAATTAAAAATAAACTCACTGTTGTAACAATCCTATCAGTCACCAAAGGTGATTTAAAGGTAATTAAGTTTTAAATTGTTTGGATACTAATAACTTTTGAATGATTTTAGGATTTAATTTGATCTTGTGAAAGAAGAAGAGAGTCTTAAATGTTATGAAGATAATGCTGACTAAAGTGGATTCTTTCAAATGTTTTTCTAAACAAATTATTGTTTAGATCAGTGTTTCTCAACTCTGGTCCTCAAGGCACACTGACCTGCATGTTTTAGATGGTCGCCTGCTTCAACACACATGTTTTCAATTGACGGCTGATTAACAAGGTTTTGCTGAATTGCAATCATCTGAAGTGGGTGTGTTGAAGCAGGGGAACATCTAAAACATTTAACTCAGTGTGCCTTGAGGACCAGAGTTGAGAAACATCGGTTTAGATCATAACTACTAAAACCTAATCAATTTAAGTTTTGACCTCACAGTGAATCGAGTGGCTTTCTCAGCCTCCTTGTTGGACTCAGGTAGTGAAGACATTGGACCATTTAACGCACAGACGAATCTGGTCTTCAAGCGTGTCATTGCAAACATTGGAAATGCCTACAACCCAAATACAGGTACCATAATATTTTTTTTTATTATTTATGGAAATTATTAAATTGAACTAAAACATAAAAACGTGTTCAACAGGGTTTTTTATTGCACCAGTGAGAGGAGTCTACCACTTTGAGATCTTTATCTGTGGACATGGACATGCTTCACATGGTTCAGGTGCTGCGTTGTTCAAAAATGGAGAACATATCATTACTGCATATGAACATCAGGCTTCTCACTATGTTAATGGTGGTAACAGTGCCACCTTGCTGTTAGAGGTAGGAGACGTTGTGTTTTTGCGTCATTGGCAAAACACAAGGATTCATGACAACCAAAATCATCACACAACCTTCAGTGGTCATCTGCTTTTCCCCATGTGAGGATCAAGGAGTCCAGATTTTCTTCAAGAAGAAAATGTTGCATCATCGTGACATCATGTCTGAACTGGATGCATACTTTAAGCTACACTCTAAAAAGTGTTCTTGGCTGCTTGTCATGAAGTGGTGAAGGAGGTGAGTAAGAATGCAGGCAGGACCCAGGATGTAGTGAGGATGATGTCTTTAATAATCAAATGCAGCTCTAACAGTCCAGGAACATGCAGCACGGCTAAGTAGTAATAATGTGCTCATATAAACTTACATGATCTTATTTAATTAGCTGAACCGTAAATTGTAGAATAAAATAAAAGTAGGACTTTTCACTAGAAATTACCTTGACAAATGAGGGTTTTGTTGGTGTAGGCCCAAGAGTAAATCAGGTGTCCAGAGGATGACAGTATATGAATGATGTTTGTGACAATCAGAGTCATTTTTCTGAACTTTAGGAAGCTCTGAAGGGGGGTTATGTAGTGTCTCAAAACAGGTTAAATCTTTATGTCTCAGTAACATAAGATTACTGAGACATCTTATAGGTCTCAGCTTCATTGCATGAAGCTTGGACCTTCATAGTATGAAGCTGAGACCTTCATGCTTTGAGCGATGTAGTGTCTGAATGCACAAAAGACATTCAGGTCAAATAAGAAGTTAATTTCTTATTTGGCACGAAGAGACAAAACAAGACGTCAATGTGGAACATGTGAATGCCACCATATATTTACATCGGAAAATATGTGTAAAAACCTGACAATGTTTCTCTTTGTTCTTTTGTTTGTGTGATCAATCATTAACAGCTTTACTTTCTCAGCACTGCTAATAAACATGGATCTATCTCTGTATTGTCTTTGTTGAAAGACATGAGTTGACCCACATTTCATTGATGACGGTAATTAAATTTATTGTCCTTTTGTATAATGAATCATTAACAGCTTTTCTTTCTCATCAATAAACTTGAGTCTGTCTCTAATCTCTTTGTTTACAGCTGTACTTGAACTTAGAGTTGACCCACATTTCATTGATGTCAGTAATTTGGTTATTTCGTCACTAAATGTTTAGTGAGAAAACATTCAGAAAACTGTACAAAGTTTATCATGTTCAACAGATAAAGTTTTCATTCTAACTACAGTGTTACTCTTAATTGTCCAAAACTTAAGATTCAAAATGGTAAGCTTCAATGCTAATCAATTTCAAATCCATTTGGATAAGTTCAATTGAAATAAACTGTTTAGTCAAATGAAATGTTTCCAAAATACCATATTTTAAAAACTTGTGTTAACAGTGATTGAGTCATTTCTACCAGTATCTTATGATCCCTACTATATTATCATACATTGTCACAATGTTGTAAGATTAATTTCAAAACTTTTATCTGACCATCCCCCCTTTGACCAAAAAATACACCACAATGTAAAGAGAACTGTGTGTTAAATAATTTATCTGATTTTAGTGTAAAAAAGTTAAAATTCCAATTTTCTCATTCATATTTGCTCAGCTACAATTACCAAAATGAAAAATCAGCAATATCATATTTGTTGATTGGTTTGATAAGATCTGACTTAGCGCAAAGTTCTTCTTGAGAAATATTTTATCGTCAATTATTGCTCAATACTTCTAACTGCATCTTTACCTTCTAGGGGTTAGATAAGTTTTTTTGTCTTTCTTTGGAACAGAGGTGGATATTTTGGAAAAGTAAACAGCTTACCAAGAAGAAAGTTTTGTGCATGCAATACTTGGTCCTTCCATGTCTTAACAGAGACATGGAATGCTGTGTGCAAGTTAAGCATTATAATCAATCATAATCTATGCAATCTAACATGTTTTCCATCTCCATATATTTTTTAGAAAACACACAAGGATACTTATCATTCTGGGACACAATGGTTTAAATTTTGAAATCTACAAAAGATTTGGGGGTTTTTTTAAGGTTTGTGTCTCGCATATTCTATACTCATGTCACTGTATGGGTATTTTTTTAATTAACATTAGCTCATTGAACAGGATATATTTGGTCATTTATCTCAGACAATTGCAAAAGGCCTATTTTAATTCATGGCCTGGTGACCTTTGGCACATGTCTTCCCCTTCTCTCATTACCTACTTTCTTGTCATAGCAGTTAGTTATAGGGATAGTTATTGCATATGAACATCAGGCTTCTCACCATGTTAAGAGTGGTAATAGTGCCTCCTTGCTGTTAGAGGTAGGAGACGTTGTGTTTTTGCGTCAGTGGCACAAACACAAAGTTTTCCGACGGCCAAAGTCATCACACAACCTTCAGTGGTCATCTGCTTTTCCCCATGTGAGGATCAAGGAGTCCAGATTTTCTTCAAGAAGAAAACGTTGCATCATCATGACATAACATAGCTGAGTCCATACTTGTTCTAAAGCACTTTTTAATGTTATTAGAGGTTTTACATTTTCTGTTTCCCTGGTATTATTACATCAAACCAATCCTCGGGGCCATGATTGGTGAACTTTTTGTTAAAAAATTTATTGTGTTTATTTTAGCAACATCAGACAAAAGAAAAGCAACAATAAACTTCCACGTTTTTAGAGCATTTTTTACAGGAAGACATTTTAATTTGTTTTAATATAATCTCTAGTGTTTAGCAACTGTTTATTTTAGAAGTAAAAATAAAGTCTCTTTGATTGAAACATACTTTTGTTTTTTTTCAAAGTCTAATAGTGTTAAATATATCATGAAGCTAATCTTAAATCTTAGAATCAAAAAGATGTGCCGTGATTAATGTGTGTTTTTTCCGTCTTTCATTTTCAAATATCTGATTTTCAATAATGAAAGAAAAGAAAATGTAAACTTTTATGTTATTTTTAATTCAAAGCTGCAGAGAATAATTTATGTTCCAACAACATTTCAGATTTCACTGCAGGTTTCGAAACCAAACATGAAAACTTACGACTCTGATCATAAAATTGGTGTTATAAAATCCTAGTTTTATTTTTTCAACACCAGAATGTAAAAAAACAGGAACTGAAAAGGAGAAAATCAACAATTTGCAGGATTCAGCAATCAGGCTTTAAATATTAGAGCTTGCTGTTTTGTTACCATGGTGACATCAGAGAATACAGAGAGAAGGTAAAAACTTCAAACATGAACAATCATATATATCATCACCATATACTGACAACACCAATCCAAGAATAAATTATTAGCTTGTTGTTTTAGAAGGCAGGAGTCAGAAGCCGAAAATGTGAAGAAACAGAAAAGCAGAAAGAGCTGCAGCAAATAAATTTGTTGACTTCCTGCTGAGGATGTTCCCAAGCCTACCTCTCCACCAGTAGGACTTCATTCAGACTAACTCAGATTAAGTCCTAATAGATTTTTATTAGGTCAACGAACAGGACAGAGGATAAGAGGAGCAGAGTTTTTACCTTCATGATTAAGCTCAGGACTGAAGAATGGGTAGAGTTTGTCCTTGAAGTCACAGCCAGTATAAGAGAAGATCTGAGCTGGAATATCTACATCATAAAAGGAGACCAGACCCTCCTCATAATCCACAAACACCCCCACCTTCTCTGGACCAGGATGGAGATGGAGATGGACTGGAGGTTCAGCACGAGCTGAGTACTGATTTTGATTTCTTAACCCAACAGTCCAGAATCCGTCCTCAGGACTCAGTGTAATGCTTTCCTTCCTGTCAACAGACTCTCTGGCTACTCCTAAATACCAGTGAGTCTTCCCTTTAACCTGAACCTCAAAGTAAAATCTGCCTGAAGAAAAACTCTGACGTCCTAAAACAAAAACACAGTAAGAAAATCTCTCTGGATTGTCTGGAAGTTTCTTCTTCACATCTCCATGTTTCACCTGTTTTCTATCAACAGAGAGAATGAGATTAGGATTAGCTGTATCAGGATCCAGAGTCACATCCACTGCAAACTGCTGGACTCTCTTCAGCTTCAATATCTTCTTCATATTCACATCAACCCGAGCAAAAGCTCTCATCACAGTCCCCTCATATGATGGTGGATGAACTCTGACCTCTGTCCAGGCCTTGGTGGGTGGAAAAGCTTTCAGGGAGGAGATGCTTTGGAGGAGGTTGAGGTGATCGTCAGACTGAGAGAGCTGCTTCACCTCAGAGCTCCTCTTCATCAGCTCAGAGATCTCCTGTTCCAGATCTCTGATGAAGTCTTCAGCCTGTTTCTCTGTAGTTTTCTGTTTGTCTTCGATCTCCTTGAGGAGCTCCTTCAGGCCTCTCTCAGCGGACTCCTTCAGAGCTGTGAAGACCTGAACACCTTCTGCTTTCTCTCTGTCTGCAGCATATTTTCTAATCTTCACCGACTCTCTGATTTCCCAGATCTTCAGTCGTCTCTTCTGGACCATCTCCTGAAATGCAGCCTCTGCCTTCCTCAGCTCTGCCTTCTTTCTTTCAGATTCTTCTCTCAGAGGAACAAACTCATGGTTCTTGTGGTTTAAAACAGGACAAAGTGAGCAGACGCATGTCTGATCGGTCCTACAGAACAGCTCCAGAGGTTTATCGTGCTGCAGACATATCCTGTCCTCCAGGTTCTCCACCGGCTCTATCAGCTGATGCTTTTTCAGACGTGGAGCGGTCAGGTGAGGCTCCAAGTGAGGCTGGCAGTAGGAGGTCAGACATACCAGGCAGGACTTCAGGGCCTTCAGTTTGGTTCCAGTGCAGACGTCACATGGAACTTCTCCTGGTTTGGCAGCTTCCTGCTGAGCTTCACGTCTGAACTGAGCAACTGTCTCTTTGATGAAGGTATTCACTCGAAGCTGAGGTCTAGAGGTGAAACGCTCTTTGCACATTGGACACTTGTAGATAACATTAATATCCCAGTGCTGAATGATGCAGGCTTTGCAGAAGTTGTGTCCACATGGTGTGCTGACTGGATCAGTAAACACATCCAGACAGATGGGGCACAGAAACCGATCCTCAGACTGCAGGCTGCTGCCAGAAGACATGTCTGAACCCTGAGGACGGGAGACACAGATCAATGATTAGCAGGATTTACTGATCTGAAGGTCTGAGATGTTCTGATCAGGTTCCATGAAGGGAGTTCAGTCAGCGGGCCAACGGAGAAGAATATATGATCACAATAACACCAGATGGCATCAGGAGCAACAGCAGCTGTTATTCCAGGACCTGTTGTCTCTGAGAAAAAGTAACTTTTGCAAAGTTTTATTTTTCAAGTTTGTTAAAAACAACTGTAAGAGGTGGCACCAGAAAGTGTCGCACTCGCACCCTCCTTACACCCTGAGCTTTAATAAAAGGGAAGCAGGCAGGGTGTTGGCTAAGTGTCAATTTCTTGTTATTTAAGTAACAATAAATATTAACTTTATTCTTGTTGTTTCTTACCCTTCGGCTTGATGGAGGCATAACACAACATACTGTATGGAAGACAAATAATTAAATTTAAATTTGTGCATTTCTGAAAGCAATGAGGTGATTTTTTTCCAGTTTGCTGCTCATTGTACTTTTTTAGTTTAGTGTTGATACTGCTGGTGGAAACAGTGAATATTATTAACTGTACTCACCGCTATTTGATTCAGCTGTTGAGGAAGAAAAAAATCAGCTCAGAGAAACAGAGAAATTATTTGCAACTGCCGATCTGCTACTCTTCACTAACTTTCACTTTCATTTCTGGAAAATGACATTCCAGTGTTACTCCGCCTCCAACTACTCCTGTTTTTGTCTTTGTTTCCTCAGATTCAGGCTAATATGTAGCTACACAAATATGACACAAGAGAAGTTTCTAATGGAAGGAGATCCTTTACAGTTTTTTCTCTCCTCTCTAGATCGAGTTTCCTGCAAACTAAAAACATCAAACTGAACCTCTAAATAAATAATCTGTTTGTGTTACAGCTCCAGTCTTAATGTTCCCGTCATGCTCTGCTGATCCCATTTTTTTTTTATTTTTTTGCTTTGCGCTTTGCATTACAGAAGTTCAGTTTTCTGCAGTTCAGTTTTTTGTCTAATAGTTGTTACTCTGCTGCCCACTGCTGGGAACATCTAGAAACTTTAAATTGAAATATATTTATTTATGAGAAAAACCTTGGTAAAACCCCCAAAGAATGTCTAAAAATAACCTTCAGACAGAGAAACAAATTATTCTACGAATGATGAGTCAAGTTATTTCCCCATTAATATTTATTAGATTATTAAAACAAAAAGTCAAATTAAAAAAATAGCAATTACTGTAAAAATAAATGAATATTGTTTCTCCATCCCAGGACAACATAAACTCTGAATAATTACAAAAAAAATGCATTAATTACTTTATTCAAGCAGGAAAAATATAATTGATTAAAAAACTATATACATACCAGTCATCTTTATTTGACTGAACTGGTTCAGTAAGCTGAACCTGTTTTCAGCTTACTGACCTGGGCACCAGGTCCTTAAATTTCAGAGTCCACAATAAATGTGGTCTAACAAGGCAGAGAAACAGGCCCACAGTACTACAGTATCTCCACCTTACTTTACAGAAGGCTTAATGTGCTTTTGTTGCAGATCAGACCCACCTCACCTCCTGAGTGGAAGGAGATAATTTCACCCTTTCATACCTTTTACTTCAGCTAAAAGCTATTTATATATTATAGATACACTTTGAACACTGTGCAAGTTGCTCCAGAAAGATTGTCCTTTTTAACAATGTCCTTATGACATCATCTGTGCCATATTTGAAGGAGATTTTATTGAACAGGTTTACTTCATAGTTGTTGTGTATGGTACACTCGGTCACATAAAATATTATTCAAGCAGATAACTGGAAGTAGCAGGAAGTAGTTCCTCGTTTTATTTTCAAACAGGAACACGTCTTCTTCTTTCCAGGACCAGCTCACCTCTCTTGTGCACAGCAAGAGCGCCACCAGTGGTGATTTATTTTTAAATATTTCCTTTGTCTTTAGATTTACAACCACACAGCCTCCAACACATAGGAGCATAATCATACCAAAAGTGCCTAACAATCTTAAATCTAGAGGTTCAGTTATTTCTGTGTCTGGAACACCACAACAGTAAACCAGTTTTCATATCACAAGAAACAAATATTTAGATGTAGCTACTAACAGCACTATAAGAAGGTGGAAATTGTTTTTCACTTTAAGAAAGGAAAAAGTCTGAAATTACTATGGGTGTGAAAGTTAGCACATCCAATGTAAATAATGGCTTAAATCTTTGTTTTTTTTTTCTATTCACAACAACAGCTCTAGCAGCATGTATTTTACTTAAAAAATCTTAATCATCAGCATAAGAACAGCACAAAGATATTCCAAAACTGATGATCAATTACAGTGCATAGTTAAAAAAAAGAAAGAAAATACATCACAGCAATACATGCAGTGATGACAGATTACATCAAATTAAGTGTGTTCAGCTGATTTATTCTCTCACTGAGAGCTTTATGTAGTAGTAATACAATGTCTCTCTCTTTGACAGTTGTCATACTTTGTATTGTATAAAAATGAACATTAAAAACTTAAATTTCAGACAGTTCACTTAGAGGAACTCAAAATGCTGTCCTTGAGTTGTGTAAGCTTTACAATTGGGCCCATTATGTTTGTTTTCTCTCTACTATCTGATCATAAATGAATGGGCTTATTTTGGCAATGGTAATGTTTGACTGGAACAGTCTTTTAAGTGTCAGATAAAGAGACACAAAAATAGGTCAAATTCCATCAACTCTGTTTCTGTTGTCGTTTTCCACTGTAATTTGTCTTATCACCTGCACGTGTTTCTGACTATTAATTAACAGATCTCTGACTGTCAGTCAGAGATCATAAATGCCCTATATATAAGTCTCAGAACATTACAGAGACATTAAAAATGGAGATTCACATGTCTTTCCCATTGTTGCTGCTAATTTGCGCTCTTTCCACTGCTCATTTTCAAGCAGAGTCTGACAACGAAATTATTTCACATTTAAGGCAAAATGGATCAAATGATGGAGAAGCAGAAAATGCCAAACAAAACCCGTCCACACAGGACGTCAGTGCTGTGCTGACAGAGATTAAAGCCTCACTGGCTGGACTGAAGGTGGAAGTGAAGTACTTACAGAGAGATAATGAAGGTATGTTTACCTGGAGGAATCACTGCTGGTGTTTACATGGAAACAACATCAAACAACAATTCAATGTCTTGTTCATTTTCTTAATACCAACAGCCAAGGGAAGAGAAGTGGAGGAGCTTAAGCAACAGCTGAAAGGTATTTAAAGTTAACATTGACCTAATAGACAATGTTTTATTTGGTGTAAAAGGATTTTGCCATTTGTATATTTTGTTTTGTATTGTTTATTAGCACAAGTCATGAAAGCAAGTAAACTGGAGCAAAAGAACCAAGGTATCTACTCCTAAATCTGCAATGTTGCACACTGGAGACCGGAAGAAAGTTGCATTGTTTAAATAATACATAAATTGTTGTGTTTGGGTTTTTTGCTTTCACTTTTAGCACAAGATGTAAAGATGACAGAAATGGAGCAACAGAACCGAGGTATTTACTGTACCTATAATGTGGACTCAGAGAAAAAAGAGATTCTTAATTTTCTTAGCACTTTTTAACAATGTGGACAAACAAACACCTAGTTAAAGTTAAAGTCTACCTCCATGGCGCCTGCATGACTCATAGCTGTCTAATGACGAATATTATCAGCATGTTAGCCTTGCTCTTCTCATTCCATAGACTCTTAAAAGAAATCTCTGGTAGCATGTCTTTATATGATATGTATACAGTATAGTAATAGGACAACAAAGCTATTTGATTTGCCCCCCTCCAAACAGTTGACAGGGTTTCATTGCACTGAAAATATTTGTTCTGCGATATGTTTTAACATTTCTTTTGTTTGTTTTTCACTTGGACTTTTTTGCTTGCATAATTCCAGTTCAAGAAGAAGAACTGATCACCATTAAAGCCAGGGCAAAAATCACTGAAAACCAAGTGCATGTTCTGAAGAAGGAAGGAGAAGGTCTGTACATTCAAAACTAGAATCATTTTTGTTACAATAGCATTTATATAGGCCATGACATAGACCTCTTTTATTAAAAAACAAAACAAAACAAAAAAAAAACATTTTTACCATGGTACCATGTCAGTTAGATTATTTGTTTTGTATTGCATGGTATCAACTACTAACACTATAGCTGTGAATTCATTCTGTTTTTCTGCATGGCAGTGAATCTCTCAAAGAAAAGATCAGTCAGGCTGGATGTTTTATGCTGATTTTTGGAGGAAACCAGGAAACCATCCCGACTACATATAAAGTTGTAAAGCTAATTTGCTGCTCAAGTCAAGCTTATGGTAGCCAAGGCAACCTGTACTGATTTGTAGTTGTAGGGATTTTTCTCTCTCCTTGTGATGAACCTCACAGCCCAGAAAGGTCATTTTAAAGAAGAACAGAAGGGTAGTGCCATCTGCTGAAAGTGTTTTATACACGGTCTTCTTACCTTCCCTAATGACTAAAAAGTATTATTTTCCCTTATTGACTCTCATTTCATTTCACAGAACACAAATATGTTTATAAGATATCAGCAAGTGCTGAAATACAAATAATTTACTGTCTTTCAGTGAAACGAGTGGCTTTCTCAGCATCTTTATTGGACTCGGGTTCGAACACTTTTGGACCATTTAACACATTTAATACTCTAGTGTTCAGAAATGTTGTTACAAATATTGGAAATGCCTACAACCGAAACTCAGGTACTGAAATGTGTATATTTTTTCAATTTATTTTTCATTTGCACTCTTCACAGAAATGTTTTGACAAATATATAGCACTAACAAAATGCTCCACAGGGTTTTTTGTTGCACCAGTGAGAGGAGCCTACCACTTTGTGTTCTACATATTTGGACCAGGAAGTCCTTCACATTTGGTATCTGCAGTGTTGGTGAGGAACGGACAGCATATCTTCATTGCCACTGAAACCCAGTCTTCACACCAAGCTACAGCTGGCAATGCAGCCACGTTACTCTTAGAGGTTGGCGATGTTGTGTTTATACGTCAGTGGCAAAATTCAAGGATTCATGACAGTCAGAATCGTCATACCACCTTCAGTGGTCACCTGCTTTTCACCATGTGAGCAGAAAACTGTTATTTTCAACAAGCTTAGTAATATTACATATTGTGAATGCTGTTTTGTCTTGATGCTTAATGTAAAGAAAATTATGTTAGTGAATTCCTTTCTTTTCTCTTGAAAGAAAGGATTAAATATGTGGACAAAAGTACTGTACAGAAGTACTAATTGTAAAGCAGTAACAAATACTGGAAGTTCTTAGTGAAGTATGTGAAAATCCTCTATATGTAAATGTGTCAACAAAATATCCACAAAAGCACTTTAAAACTGTTTATTGCGTCAACATCTCTTCTACGACAATATTTAGGTATAAATGTCTGTGGCCTCATCTGTCATAGTACAAAAAGTTTTCTTTAACCTCCTTTACAATGTTATTTCCCAGAATCTCATTTGAATCTCATTTGAAGTGCTTTTGACATGAATAACCTACACTAGATTTGATCCTGCAAAATATTTGCAACCAAATCCAAAAAGTACATCTCTAAAATCTGAATGTTCCAGCTATGGTCAAGATTTATACCGCTCATACTGAAAACAACTTTTTGCTG